ATAAATATAGTGATGACATGCCTGAAACTATGCATAAAAATGTTTTCTCTAAAATAATAGCAACATTGAATATTTTATTTATTTAGTTTGGGTACAATAAGGGATTTCTGCATTTTTATTTTACAAGTAGCTGAAAGGAGATGTTTAGTATTTGGGGTTCAGTTTGATTTCCAGTTCAGCAAAACTGAAACTGAAGAAAACCTACCTGCAGCTTTCAAGTTCACTTGATTTGAAATGAAGGCAGTTCACTGAACTGCCTCTTGCCTGAGTAAGAACAGAGAAAGAGGCAGGCAAGAAGATATAGATATGTAGGCATATTCTCTTACACTAAAACAGGACCTGTATAGAATCTAATTACTATTACGGAAATGACTAAGTGAATGAGAACATGTAGTGTCAATACAGGGCACCAGAAACTATGCTATTTATTTCTGCTTATTGACAGAGGGGAGGAAGCTTGCTGCAGATACTTCTCTCTGGTGGAAACTAGCACCCTGCCTTCTTCTGAAACAGAGCCAGGAAGACACTTTCATTCCTACCACTGTTTTTCCTTCACTAAGAGCAGCTTTCAATTACCTGAAGTGGCGGGGGAAGGGTGTCAAAAGAGGATGGAGCTGGACTATTCTCAGTGGTGACAGATGACAGAACAAGGAACAATGATCTCAAGTTGCAGCAAGGGAAGTTTAGGTTAGATATTAGGAAGAACTGTCTCACTAGGAGAGTAGTAAAACACTGGAAGAAGTAGAATCTCCATCCTTGGAGGTTTTCAAAACCTGGCTAGAAAAAGCTTTGGCTGGGATGATGTAGTTAGTGACAGGTCTGCTTTGAGCAGGGGGCTGAACTAGATGACCTCCTGAGGTCCTTTGCAACCCTAACTTCCTATGACTCTATCTATAGTCCAGAACTTACTAGGCCACGGGTATTAAACATCCGAGGACTTTTGTCCCAGCTCTTGCCACAGTGTGAGGGCTGTCTGTGGCAGCAGACAACACAACAGCAAGAGCCAGGTCTTTGACCACAGTGTTGGGACTTTTGGCGGTAGTCCTGCTGGGGCTGCTGACAAGACAGCTAGGGTATGGCTTGGAGGCATCTGGAAAGAGGGAATGCAACCCTATAATTGATTTGAGTTTGATACCTCTGTATTAGCTATTAATTTTTTTACACAATAGCTTATTTCCAATGGCTAATTCAGTTCTGAGTACCAAAATTAGTATTTCCTACATTTTAATATGAATCTTTTGTGACTGAGCATAAGAATATCCCATCATCACCAGAAAGTCCCCACCTAAAAGTTACTGGCCAGTTAATAACTAACTTTTGCAATTATGTCTCCTGCTGGAGAAGATGGCAAGTAAGCAGAAGGACATATTACCATTTGCAAGTAAAGGTAAAAAAAGACCCAGCCCCCCATCTAAAACCAGTAAGTATCGGAAACTTATGATAAGAGCTTAAAAATAAATAAATAAATGAAGCATGGAATACAATTAATGACATTTATTGTGAAGGTTTCCAGAAACAGTTGGAGTCAAACATATGTCCCCCTTTTAAAAAAGCCACATCTAAAAGGAAAAAGACATGGGAAAGACAATAGTGTGAAAATATGTAAGGAGGGCAAGGTGATGATTGTTCTGGCCACCAGGGTATTCCCAATGTTCAGGTTGCATTAAGTGTGAGCTTTAACCACAGTTATTTATACTTGTCAGAATGAGTCAGCTGATGTCCCTCAGGCATCACAGCAGATACGGGGCTTCAAGAGGAGCTTTACAGTAGAGAGCATACTAATTGTACATGAAAGCTTAGGAAGGATGTTTAACGCAGAAGGTGGGGTGACAAAAGACTTAGGCATCCCTCTGAGAACAAGTAACTGACAAAGATCGCTTGATCAGACTGTTATCACCGGGCTGTCCACAAAGAGTACTGTAAATACATGACAACTACAGCTTGTTTGCACATACAGGGTTATGGGTTCCTCTCCCTCTCCCTACCTCAATCCCCAGTTAAAATTTAAAACGTCTTTGTAAATTACATAAACCAATCCAGGAAAAAAAAGAAAGAGCAAGGCTTGTGGCTAGTTATGGGTATTAAATGGTGGATAAGGACAAAAAGTATTGTTTATTGGTAACAAACAAAATGAAAACGTTTACCACTGGCAAGGCAGAAATACTCATTCATCTGTGTCAACTTTAAGAAGAGTTTAGTGAAGACACTTAAAAGTGAATTGTTATTACTGCTTAAAAATCAACTCCTTTGAGTGAAATGAAACAAGATTTAGACGCAAATTTTGAGTGTTCCTTAAGCCAAACCACCACTTCGAGTATCTTCATGATAAAGGCAATCTATTAACTCTAAATTACAGCAAAATTAGACTAAATGCAATACTTTTGAGTAATACTACTTAAATTTCCCACTGCTACTCTTCTCTTTGGTAAACAATGTGACAGGATCACCAATCATTTCCTGAACAGCATTTTTTCAAGGGTAAACAAAGACATTTAGAGATGACCCTTCTTAACTCAATGGAGTTAAATGAAAGTTATAACATGACCTCTATCAAATGGGAGTGTGGAATAAACACAGTCTGAGTACACACAGATATAAATACATATACAGAAGTCTGCTTAGTGATTTGGATTATGGGCTTGTGGAAGGGAATAAGGTTTACAGAGACTTCACTCCTGCATACCTAAGCTAAGGTTTCATGACTGGATCTTTGAGAACAAGAAAGGAGATGAGAAGCCGAGTAATAGTGATTTGATCCTTAAAACAGTGACAATTAAAATTATCCAGTTCAAGATGAAAGAATTGCAACTCAAACTTGTATATACACGTTTATTCCACATGTATATACACACACACACGCATACGTGTGTGTAGGTACGTGTGTACACACACACCCACACACAAAACTGCAGTGTGTGTGTGTGTGTGTGTGTGTGTGTGTGGGGGGGGGTGGGGGGGGGGCATGCATGCATGAGCGCGTAGAGTTTTTAATGTGTTCACTCGCCCACTTTGCATGCAGCACTATATTTGTATAATTTCAGTGGGATAAAATTAATAGGAAATGCAGTAGCTTCTCTTTTATCATATAAACAAATTGTAGTAATTATGGACTGTAGTGGAAGTTTATCACTGTATGCTGATGCTAGAAATAAGGACCCTGTGAGCTAGGAAAGATTTATTTATTTACTTAGCAATCTACAGTTTCTTCGTTCCTTTCAGGGAAAAATGATCAAACAAGTGTCAAAACAGAACTGCAACATAAATGCCTGAAGTGGTTAATAAGAGTATATCCACATGACCAACTTATAAGGAGAGGTCACATACAACACTAAAAATACCGGTCCAAGTAGCCACTACCAGAATTTCATTTTAATCATCAACAATGTTTCATCAAAAGCTCTGGTTTGAAAAAGTGATTACTAGGGTTACAATTAGTAGATCTGATGCTGACATTCTCTTTTGGTGATATGGTTGTCTTCTATGGGACCTGATCTATAGCCTTTGGGGCTACAGATCAGGTCCCATAGATATTAGACATTCAAAAAGCCTGAGCCTGAATTGATTCAATCTTTGCAGCTTATTCTAAACCTGGCTAGGCTAAATCAGTTTTATAACCAGACAGACATCCCAGAAATTCAGGCACATGCCTGCAGTGGCTCAGGCAAGAAGCCGGGGGGTGCTAAAGCAGCCCTCCATTCCTTCCACATCAGGAAGCTGAGGCGGGTGTGGACAGGCTTCTGCAGGACACTATGATTAGCTCAGCAGAGAATTGATAACAGTGTTTATCACCCAATTAAGAAAACAAGAGGGACATTACCTGCTACTCGCTGATTCTGCATAGATCATACCTAGCATGTGGTCTGCTAGCTAATACAGAGACATGTCTCAGCAAGGCAGAGGGGAGGGGGGAATTCCTGCTTAGCAGGAAGTGGTGAGGGGGAGAAGGGAAGCAGCCCACAGTCTGTTAGGGGAAGAAGCCAGGGAGCAGAAGAGAGGGGCCAGCTCTGCTGTGGAGCAGAGCGCCTCACCCAGCCCAGAGAGCATGCCAGAATGCTGTGGGAGTCTGGTTTATCTTAAACCAGCAAGGGGTCTGGGACAGACATTGCATAAACCCATTTGAGCCAAATCAGTTACGTCTGATACTACATTCGACCAGGTTTTTCTCAAACCGGTTTCAGCCATTTTCAAACCAGTTTATGTGCACTGAACATCTGTTCTGTTACAGGTTTAAACCAGTTTCTGATCACTTAAAACTGGCTTACGTGTGTAATGTCTGTCCTTTGAAGCCAAGCATCTTTTCAATATTTTCTAAAGTTTCTGGTTCAAACCCTCAGTAGCAAAACTCATTTTACACTCATTCTGTGTAAATGAATTTATGTTAACAGTATGTAACCAGCAGAATGGATTACATAATAACTGCATAGTTCTTAAAATGGATTATTTTTTCCCCTATTAATGTCCCTCTTTTATTGCTGCTTTGAATCTAGTTAGCAATAGTTGCAAAGAAGTCAAAACAGCACAGAGTGAAGTTAAGTATTACAGTCATGTTGGATAGCACATATTCTATGATACATAACTGTAAAAAGAATCAGAGGCAACACTCCTAATTCAAAACATAAATATTCTATGGAGAGATTATAAAAGGTCTAATTAAGCCAGGAATTTAATGTTTGTTTAATTAAGATACTGCAGAGATACTTTTGAAAAGCATGATAAATTACACAAATCCAATATGACTGCAGTTACAGATGAGAACTACCTTACTATTCAAATCCTTTATAAGAAGCCAGCATATATGGAAAATATGTAGACTTAAAAAAAAACCAAACAGTTTAAAGTCACTGGTACTTCAGTTTAATGCAAACATGATGGACAAAGTTACCAAAAAGGAAACCAAGAGACTTTAAAACATACAGAATATATCTTTTTATCATGAGAAGTTAACTAGTCAGAGTTTAGTTTAACTATTGTGTGGAGTGATATAGAAGAGAGTAAAATACCTGTGTTTACTAGGTATTCATCCTTCTTATCCATGAAACTCGCCATTCATTCCAGCAGCTGAGTGAGCAGATCCTTATTCGTATGCTGCAGTATCTGCATATCAAGGACCAAAAAGTTAACTTCATTGCAGGTTTTGGATTTGGTACTGTTTACAAAATTAACTTAGCACCTTTCCTTTGCCTTCAGCATGCCCCTGGTAATTTATTCACCATGCAGATAAGGAGTGGATTGAGATTCCATTGATCGCTACATTTAAAATTTGTCATTTATTAGTTTGAGTTCCTGGTTTAACTAACTTCAAGACCTAATATCCAGAGTTACTTAAAATAATAAAATATAGTTCACAATAATCTTATGAGAGTCTCAATAGATGCTAGAAATACACTAGGCTCCTTAGATTCATGTTTGCCAGAGGCTGCCTGCAAGGGTTGACAAAGTGAATCTCACTTCTCGAGCCTATTTCCCCTTGATACATTCACATTCCCATTAGTGTCAAAAGGGGTTATTGGGCATACTGGAGTGACATAATATGCCCACTGGGCTCTTAACAGTGTTTTATTATAATAGAATCTGGATTACAAGAATTGGTTCTTAACACATACTAGAGACTTCTAGGGACAAAATGTTGTAGCCTAAGTACCTACTTTGAGGTCACACACGCACACGCACGCGCGCACACACACACACACACACACACACACACACACACACACACACACACACACACACACACACACACACACACACACACAGGTAAAGCACTCGTAAGACACATTTAGATTTACACAAAAAAGTGGCACATTGCAAAAATCTAGGGGTAAATGAGCACACATGTATTTTATAATCAATATTTAGGAGTTCTCTAAACCTACAGTTTTAGGCTCAAAAGTACTAACAATATTTTTCTAGGCTTTAGTTTTGTTGAAGTTTAATACATTTGGTTTGAAGTGAGCTGGTTTAGATATAGCAGCCACCAAGCAAAGTTCTGAAGTGAATAAAGTTTTTCTTTCTTATTATCGTAATTTCAGAAGAAGTTGCCAATACTTCAAGGTCCTGTGTACTACTGCCACTCATGGCAGAAGCCTGCTCTGTAGCACCTCTAGTTGTGACTAGGAAGAGACAGCCACGGTCCTTTACCAAATGCAGATTAGATTAATTCTCTTTCCTTACTGACCAACAAGTTGTAGAGCCTTGACTTCATATTCCCTTTATTTTCAATAAAAGGAACATCAATCCCACGCATCAACCTCTTACACTAACATTATACAGAAATATTTGGTAGGTTTTTATTGTGCATCTAAAAGCTCTAACTCATGCATACTTAGAAATGCAAATATACATTAAGAAACCCAACCACAAAATTATCTTTGCATCCATGTTTGATAATGCAGATTAAAGTTTATAAAGGCACCGGCCTGTTTTTTTTAACTAGAAATGTGTTGTTGCGGGAGAAGTGGGGATGGAAAGAGATGGCAAGATATTTACTTGCAGTCTCAGGCACACATTTACCCAAAAGGAATATCCTATCAAGGCCAACAAGTTCCTAATGGTTTGTAGAGTCCTCCCAAAAAGGTTTGTGACTGAGAAGCACTCCACAGAGTTAGTACTCAGGATTTAGAAGATGAATATGTTCTAAACGTCTTCTTCTCATCTCGTCCTGCCCTGCCCTGCCCTGCCCTGCCCCATCCCACCTCCTCCCAGAATATCTCTCAAAAGGCTCAATAGCTCCTCTCATGTGGCCACATAAGGCAGAGAAATATTTTTATCCCTCAGGACTACTTTGCTCCATGTAATCTAGGCCCACCACTCTTGAAGTAACAAGCATTTTAAGATTATGCCCTGAAGTCCAGAGAATTGCATGCCCAGTTTTGCAACTCCCCAGCCTGACCCCTTTGCCTCCATGATTCTAACTTCTGCAGAGCATGCTTGATAAAGGACTCCTAATCTCCCCAGAGTTTCACTCCCACCCAAAGAACATTGTTAAGCAGCAGAAAACCCTCCTTCTATTCCTCACCACTTTCCTGGGCTTCTTCCTACCTTTTTGTTTTCACAGTCTTTGTTCCCATGCTCTTTTCACAGCTTCCCTCTGTCTGTACCTCTGAAGTCTCTGTACCCTAATCTGACTAGGCTGCAATCATTTGTAGCAGCTGTTTCTAACTGATTGCTTGGTCACAGCTGGGGAAGTAGTTACACTGTTTATTCCTTCGGGGAACAACTTCATTCCAGGATAAACTGCATAATAGCAAGGACAGAGAGGGAGAAAGGTAAGACTTCACTGCAGTTTCACATAATGCAGTCTCCCAGGCTTGGTAGGCTCTGAACTTTGCTAGCTTTCAGCATCCATCCCCAGTACATCACACTGACTTCCCTCTAGTAACCTCAGATAGAGCACAGACGTAGACTGGATTACAATAACACCTCTCATTTTTCAAAACCTAAATTAACATTTGTAAAAGAAAAAAAAAAGGTTTGTTTAGAAGTCTAGTCTCTAGAGAGGTTTTATCAAATGTCCACACCTAGTTTGGTGTGCAGTTGACTATAGGTGAAAGTGCTGCAAGATCAGAAGCCTCTGAAGTCAATGCTTTAGTGGAGTTTTAGTTGATGTATAGTTTCCTTAGCCCATAGTGGTGTGGGAGGGGAAACAGAGTTTCTATGGATCAGGCCATGTGGTGATTCAACAGTAACTGGGTCCTTCATTAACACTCTGTGGGCATCTGGTATTTGGCACTCCGTCTGTCCAGCCCCCCCAATAGTCAATTATGCCTTAGCATAAATCTCATTACATATCTTCCCTGCAAAAAGGAAGGAGCTGGCCATGAATAGAGAATTGAAATGAAGAGGGCTAGGACCAGTATGGTTATCTTCTGAGCAGCCACCAGACAGAAGAGATAAGGTACAGAGCAGGAGACTCCCTTGACACCTGGAAGAACAAAAGTCCCAGTGATAGTGTATATACAATGTATTATTTTGCAAAGAAAAGTAAGCAGGGAAACAGCTAACTCAGGCCGTTCACTTTAAGGCCCCAAAGATAAATATTATTAACCTAATAATTCTATAACTTCTATCCAACCCTCACTTCAGGCCTTTGCATTACATTATTGCTAGAGAAGCAAGCTAGCTAAAATTTGGTTGTATATACTCAAAGTGTCCCTAAGTGCTTTACAGGAGATGAGTCAGACACTTAGTGCAGTCAGCCATTACACACTCAGCAATAATTCACATGCACCCTGAAACATTAAAAACTAATATTTAAGCTCCTCATGACTATGGGGAAGATTTGCTTAGCCCAAGAAACTGTTTGTAAGATAATCTAATTTTTTACCATATGTTTTTTGATGCAGTTTAATAGGGATTGTACCATACACTAGTAACTTTTATTTTCCATGAGGAAGTTGAGCTTGCTTTTTCACGTACATAACATATTTTGCAAAGTCAGGAAAATATTTTTTTAAATTTTTTCAACACCAACTTCCTTTTCAAATTTAACACTATGTAGGCTAGACTGAGTAATACCACTTTGGATTCAAATGGAACAAGTCTGTTCTAGGGACTATATTATCATACCCTTTCCCCACGTGTAGAGGAGCAAAAAGAAAAAGGCATATACATACCCCTTTTCTCAGATGGAAACACCTTCAGTGGTGTGGTAAGTAAGACCACTTCATCCAATTGGGAGCTAAAGGATAGAGAACACAAGAGTGGGAGGAGTTTTGGCTTTGCCCAAAGATGAAGGGAGATTGCTATTCAGTCTTAGAGCAATGGGGCCCCAATTCTGTTCAGGCTCACTGGTGCTCCTGTAGTATAAAATTACTAAGTGAAAAATAAATTGAGTGATAAGAGGGAAAGGCTAGTGAAAATGAGCATTAAATACCAGGTTAATTCTTTCCCCCAGCTTATCAATTAGTGATGGCAATAGTTAATGAAGGGCCATTGATGCCATCTAAAAAGTATATTCCCATCCACAAACAGCAGTACAGATGTAAAGAAGTAAAACATGAAAGACCTACAATTAATGTAGGGCAATGTTACTAATGTCTATTAAGAGCCAGCTGAAACTGTCTGAAATGATGGCCTTTGAAAATAAATTGCAATCCATTCACGCAGCTGCAGAGGCTTTTAGTAAAAACATTGCTAGGCTGATATGTGGGTTGATGGTGTTTCCATTGGCTGTGGCTTGCAAGCTTCCTGTTAATTTCTCAGCTGAGGCTGCATAGCCATTCATCTTTGGAAAAGCTAGAGATTTATGAAAGAATAAGACTAATGCATTATCACAAGAAGGAAAGTATATCTATGGCCGTGTTATCCACAGTGTAAACCGGAGGTCAAATAGTTGATTTCTTGACTGGGTGCAATTTAAAATCTCTCATGCCCAAGTTCAAACCACACAGCATCCAGCTTGTGTAATATTCAGCAATAAAAAATGACCTAAGCCACAAAGGAATGATCCTGCCCTAAGCAGTAGGAGTGGACTGGATGATCTTGTGAAGTCCCTTCCAGCCCTATTTTCCTATGATTCTATATTGATATCTAGGGCAAGGACCCAAAAAACTTGCCATTGAAGGTCACGGAACATATGGAAATACAGGAAGGGTAGAAAGAGACACAAATACTAGGAAATACTAGTGATAAAAAAGAATCCCACTCTGATGTAGTTTTTGGGATAACTGGATGTCCAAACACAGTCACGGAACTGTGACATGATTGGAATAACAGAGACTTGGTGGCAGCTTGTATGACTAGAGCACCATCATGGATGGGTACAAACTGCTCAGGAAGAACAGGCAGGGGAGAAAAGGAGGAGGAGTAGCACTTTATGTAAAAGAGCCATATGATTGCTCAGAACTCCAGTATGGAACTGGACATAGGCCTGTTGAGAGTCTCTGGGTTAGGGCCAGAGGGGAAAGCAACAAGTCTGATGTTGTGTTGGGGGTCTACTATAGCCCACCAGACCAGGAGGGATGTGGTGGATAAGGTTTTCTTTAGTTAGCAGAAGTTTCTCAGTTAACAGGCCCTGGTTCTCATGGGGGTCTTCAATCACCCTGACATCTTCTGGGAGAGCAATACAGCAGTGCACAGGTGATCCAGCAAGTTTTTGGAGAGTACTGGGGACAACTTCCTGGAACAAATGCTGGAGCAGCAAACTAGGGGCCATGCTGTTCTTGACCTGCTGCTCACAAACAGGGAAGAATTGGTGGGGAATGTAGTAGTACATGGCAACTTGGGTAACAGTGACCATGATATGATTAAGTTCAGGATCCTGAGGAAAGGAAGGAAGGAGAGCAGCGGAGTAAGCCCCCTGGACTTCAGAAATCAGACTTGGACTCCCTCAGGGAACTCATGAGCAGGATCCCCTGGGAAGCCAGACTGAGGGGAGAGTCATCCAGGAGAGCTGGCTGTACTTCAAAGAGGCCTTACTGAGAGTGCAGGAAGAAACCATTCCAATGTGCAGGAAGACTAGCAAGTATGGCAGAAGACCAGCTTGGCTTAGCAGGAAACTCTTCAGTAAACTAAATCACAAAAAGGAAGCTTATAAAAGTAGAAACTTGGACAAACAACTAGGGAGGAGTATAAGAGTATTACTTAGGCATGCGGGGATGAAGTCAAGAAGGCCAAAGCACACTTGGATTTGCAGCTAGCAAGGGATATGAAGGGTAACAAGGAGGGTTTCTTCAAGTATGGCAGTAACAAGAGAAAGATCAGGGGGAGTGAGAGTCCCTTACTTAATGGGGGAGGTAACCTAGGTGACAGAGGATGCAGAAAAGACTGAAGTACCCACTGCCTTTTTCACCTCAATCTTCAAAGGCAAGTTTAGATCCCAGACAAATGCACCTGGCAGCAAAATTTGGGGAACAGGTGAGCAGCCAACAGTAGCTAAAGTTAGGGACTATTTAGAAAAGCTGGACATGCACAAATCCATTGGGCCGGATAGGATGCACCCAAGAGCACTGAAAGTGTTGGCTGATGTGATTGCAGAGCCACTGGCCATCATTTTAGAGAACTCATGGCTATCAGGAGAGGTCCTGGATGAATTGAAAAGGGCAAACATAATGCTCATATTTAAGAAAGGGAAAAAGGAATATCATGGGAACTACAGACCAGTCAGCCTCACCTCAGTCTCTGGAAATATCATGAAGCTGATCCTCAAGGAATCCATTTGTAAGCACTTGTAGGAGAAGAAGGTTATTAGGAACAGTCTGTATGGATTCACCAAGGGCAAGTCATACCTTACCAACAGGATGGCTTTCTATGATGAGATAACTGGCTATGTGGATGTGGGGAAAACTGGCTGGATTGTTGGGCTCAATGGCTAGTAATGGCTCAATGTCTAGCTGGTAGCCGGTATCAAGTGGAGTACCCCATGGGTTGGTCTTGGGGCTGGTTTTGTACAATATCTTCATCAATGACCTGGAAGATGGCATAGAGTACGCCCTCAGCAAGTCTACAGATGACACCAAGCTGGGGGCAGTAGTAGACACACTGGAGGGTAGGGCTAGGTTTCAAAGTAACCTAGATAAATTGGAGGATTGGACCAAAAGGAATCTGATGAGGTTCAACAAGAACAAGTGCAAAATCCTGCACTTGGGATGGAACAATCCCATGACTGTTACAGACTGCGGGATGACTGGCTGGGCAGCAGCTCTGCAGAAAAGGAGCTGGGGGTTACAGTGGACAATAACCTGAATATGAGCCAGCAGTGTACCCTTTTTGCAAAGAAGGCTAATAGCATGCTGGGCTGCATTGGTAGGAGTGTTGCTGGCAGGGAAAGGGAAGTGATTCTTCCCCTCTGTTCAGCACTTGTGAGGCCACATCTGCATACTGTGTTCAGTTTTGGGCTCCCCACTACAGAAGGGATATGTACAAATTGGAGTGAGTCCAGAAAATGGTGAGGGGACTGGGGGACCTGAATAATGAGGAAAGACTGAGGGAACTGGGATTATTTAGCCTTGACAAGAGGAGACAGAGGGATTTAATAGCAGCCTTCAACTACCTGAAGAAGGGTTCGAAAAAGGATGGAGCTAGACTATTTTCAGTGCTGGCAGATGACAGAACAAGGAGCAATGGTCTCAAGATGCAGCAAGGGAAGTTTAGGTTAGATATTAGGAAGAATTGTCTCAATAGGATGGTGGTACAGCACTGGAACAGTTACCCAGAGGGGTCATAGAATCTCCATCCTTGGAGATCTTTAAGACCCAGCTACGTT